AGACAGACAGACAGACAGACAGACAGACAGACAGACAGACAGAGAAAATTGATAGCAGGGCTTCAACTGGTAGACCATCATGTTCTCTTTTCAAGTTACACTGTTTTGCACAAAAGTATGTGCTATAATGGTCATCAGTTTCCTGTGGCGTGACAACCACAAACTGCCTCAAATGAAATATTTATTAGTATGAAATAAGTGCAGCAGGAACTGTAGGGAAGCAGTGAGCCTGTTGAAAATATGCGACATATCTTGACTATTTTGCACAAATGGTGGGAACAGTATGAGTATATAAACTTCTGCTATTTTCTAAAGGAATAAAAGCCATATATCCATACACAATTATCTTTGTTTGTCTAGATACATTCTAGAATTTCAGTTTGCAGACATTATCTCCCAAAGTATGCTACCTGGCCAAGAAAATACAATCCTTTTGGACTAATGCTACTACTCTGCTAGATTAGAGATACAAGGATCCATAGTGTAGATCCTAATCCAAATACCCTTTAGAGATAGAAAATTAAATGGCTGTAATTTGTCCAAGTTTCATATGCAAAATTAACACACAAAAGTGGTTCTTGGATTAGAATGCGAGGAAATAGAAAAGCAAAAAAGAAAGAAGTTCTCACTCCCTCAGCAGGCTTGGGGGCGGGGGCTCTGGAGGGCTGGAGGGGTCCCACGGACATGGTAGAGGGTCTCACTCACGCAATGTACCTGGGTTTTGGTCCGGAGAGGTCCGGCGGGCGCAGGGAAGCCGGAAGCTCTCCCCCACACTCGCCGGGCCTGGGCTGGGCTGGATCTGGGTCCATTCTGTAGGCTGTTTCCAAAGTCTGATGCATGACTGTCAATGCTGCATTCTAGTTTTTAGACTGAACCTCAGCAGGAAAGCTATTGCTGTCTCATTTGCATGTGGTCATGGGTAGAGATTACTGAAGTGTGTTACGTAACCATCTCAAGGCTCTTGATTCTCTGTCCTATTTTACTTGCCTTCTTCTTCAGAAAGCCAACTGATGTGATAAGCTGCTGCTTGATCATGTGATCATTGTACGTTCTCAGTGCTTATTTCTAGTAGGTGTCACTTCCAGACAAGATTTTTACTTGTGAAAATTAAATCTGTCAAAGGAAGGCTGAATTCCAACACACGAGTTGGTGATCACTGTGCAACTCTAATTTCTGATCATCTACTTCCCATGTTAGAGCAGCAAAAAATGGGTCAAAAGAGGATATGATATAGTTTCCTTAGGTAACTACATATACCTATGTTGTTCATTTGAAAGATAGATTTATGGATCTTTTTTATTGACAATAAAAGAACAACAAAATTTGATCCAAAAAAAGAAAAACTTAAAAGAGTAAAAGTCTTTCATCTGCCAGAAATTTTATTCATCAGCTTCTATGTTCTAAGATTATTGTGAAGTGTTTTCTGTTTTCTTAAAAAACTATATGCATTATCGGTTCTACTTAAATGAGTTTTCGGAAATCACAATCTGACTCCTTTTGTTATGTAAAAATGCTTATTTTCCTTTACCGATTACATTTTAGCATGAATAATGCATTTCAATGCTCAACATAACATTTAAACATATTTAATGTACAAATCATTCTTCCTCCAATAAGTAACTATGATGAGATAGAGCACATAGATTCAATGAACAGAAGGGCTTAAAAACGTTAGCATTTTATGCATTTAAAGGAGCTTGTAACCGACAGTGCTAGTGGATTTCCTGATGATGTGACTCCACCTTACCTCATTCATTTAGGCTAGATATTTTTTCCAGTGCTCTTTGAATACAAATAAGGAACAGTGCTTAGATTTGAACTCAGAACTGACTCTAAATTCTAAGCCTAGAATTCTAACCCCAAGTCCTACTGGAGAGCCAACATTACCGCCAACATTTAGTTCTTGTGAAACACCTAAGGGCTAGACAGTCCACCCCTCTTCTGTGATGGTTTGCAATTTCCCATCACTGTTTGGATGACCTGGTTTGA